ATCCGGAGTTGAGTGAATCTTGCTTAACTGAAACTGAGATTTATGAGCATGATATTGCAAAGCAAGTGCTGCTTAGCACAATTGTTGTTTCCTTATTGTGATTGCATTTACATAGCGACAGTCCAGACGATTGACTGAAGCCTTGTCCACACACAGGCCACCTGTACAGTTTCTCTTCACTGTGAACGATGCTTTTTCCTTCCATATTCCAAGGCTGGTGATACTCAGGTCCTGAGAACTGAACACTGCTGGCAGCTCTTGATCTCACATTTGATTTGAACTTACTGTCTAATTGCCTGTAAAATAAATAGAAAACAGGAAGAAGTAAAATGAAATCCGCTCGATTGTCATGAAAACCTACCTGGATCATTAGCTGACAATGCAGAAGTTGAGAAATGAAACACAAACCAGGCTGTGGGAACAGGCTGCAGTCGGTGGTTATTTCTGCAGAGCCAGCAGAGTGGGACGTTCGAGTGATGCCACAACAATGATGTCTATGTAACAAGGGAAAGTGTACAACTGGCTGACCATAATCTGTGCCAGTAACTGGATATGGAAATGACCTAGGCTTGCTGAAAAGCATTATCGAAAGCAAGTGGGAATTCATGTACCACCTTTAGGTATGAGCAATACCCCGAGCATACTGTTGAGACTGCATCTGGAGAACTGTGTGCAGTATTGGTTGGCATACTTATGGACATGTGTCAATACATTGGAAGCAGTTCAGGGAAGGTTAAGGACTAATGCCTGGTGTGAGAGGATTGCCTTATGAGGAAAGGCTAGACCGGCCTGTATCCTCTGGAGTTTAGAAGAGAAAGAGGAGACTAAACTAAACCATAAAAGATCCTGAGGGAACCTGACCAGCCGGATGCTGAAAGAAATGTTTCCTCTTCAGGGAGAATCTAGAAGTAGGGGTCATAGTTCAAAAATAAGGGAGAGCCCATTGAAAAGAGTAACAAGGAAATATTTCTTCTCACTCAGAGGGTTAATAGTTTTTGGAATTCACTTCCTCAAAAGGCAGTAGTTTGCAGAATCTTTAAATATTTTTAAGGCGGAAGCAGATAGATTCTTCATGACCAAGATGATGAATGATTGTTGGGGATACGCAGGCACATAGAGGTGAGGTTGAACCCAGTTCAGCCACAATCCTATTGAGTGGCAGAGCAGGCTCAAAGGGCCGATTCGCCAACTCTTGTTCCTCAGACATATACTTGAATAAACCAGCAAGCAAAGAAACTCAAGTATTATCTAATTCCTGCGGGGGAGGAAGTTGTTTGAGTTCCCACTTCACCCACCCAGTGGAAATAGCTCCTCTCCATCCCCCGACCAACTTCATTAACATCTTAAATTTTAATCAAATCATGCCTCGATCTTCTAAATTGTAGGAAATACAACATTCCTGGTGAGATGATGCATTTTGGTAAAAGGGCAGAGAACATTTGAAATTGGAGCTGAAGTAGTCCATTTGGCTCCTCCAGCCTCAAAAAGGTCATAGCTGATCTACGTAGGCTTCAATTCGAAAATGTCTTTTTTCAAAATTTGATCATGGAATGCCGGCATGACTGGCTGGTTCCAGTGACCTTTATGAAGATGGTGACCTGCCTTCTTGAACCACTGCAGTCCACAGGCTGTAAGTTGACTCGCAATGTTGTTAGCGAGGGATTTCAGGATTTTGATCCAACAACAGTTAAGGAACAGTGATATGTTTCCAAGTCAGGACAGCGAGTGGCTTGGAGGGAATTCATATCCAACAAAGAGTCTCAAAGATCTACAGCACAGAAAGAAAACGCCCTGCTGACTGTCTGATCTTGTTATTATCCTCCAAGTACTTTATTAATACATCTTTTAGAGTGGATTTTAGCATTTTTCCCATAACCAGCATCATGCAAATTCCCTATTTTCTCTCTGCTTCCTTCTTAAATATTGGGGTTATGTTAGCTGTGCTCAAATCTACAGGAACTCTTTCAGAGTCTGTACAGTTTTGGAAGGTAATCACTAGTGGATCTGCTATTTCTTGGACCACTTCCTGAGGTACTCTGGGATGAAGGTTATCAATTTCTGGGGATTCATCTGCATTAATCCCATTATTTTACCCAATATCATTTTCCTACCAATACTAATTTCTTTCAATTCTACCTTCCCATTAGACACTGTGATTTCCCCTTATTTTGGGGATGTTATTTGTGTTCTCCTTTTTGAAGATATGAAGATGTATTTTAAATAAAGACCGAAAGAACTGCACTAACAGTCCCCATTAACAACTATTCACCCTACCAGCCTGATCATTAGCAACTCCTTCGTCTATCCAACTGTCTTTCTCTCTCTTTGGGTTCTATCCTATCGTTTACTCCCTACCCTACCCACCTCCCTATTTTCTCCATATAAACTGACGTTTTCCCAACCACTATCAGTTCTGAGAAAGCGTCACTTGACCCGAAACGTTAACTCTGTTTTTTCCTTCACAGATGCTGCCAGACTTGCTGAGCCTTTCCAGCAACTTTGTTTTTGTTGTTGTTGTTGAAGATGTATTTTGTTGGTCTACCATCACTTTGTACTCCATTTTTTAATTCCTCTGTTTCCAATTGTAGGAGAACCTGTGTTCATCTTTATTAACGTTTTACTATCAATCTTGAATTAAGAGTTTAATGATGATCATGAAAGCATTGATTGTCAGAAAAATCCCAGCTGGTTCACTAATGTCCTTTGCGGGAAAGAAACTGTCATCCTTACCTGGTCTGGCCTACATGTGACTCCAACCCAACAACAATGCAGTTGACTCTTGACAGCCCCCTTAGCAATCATAGATGGGCAGTATATTCTGGCTTAGACAGCAATGTCTGTAACAAAAGAAAACCATTGATTTGTATGGTCTCTGCAAGCATACTCTCATACTCTATTTTCTGCCATTTAATCAATCCCTTTGTTAAATTCTAAACTGTTACCAATGTGGTGATTTATTTGACAAATTTAATACTAGCCATCATTTCCCTTTTTTGACATGGTTTCACCATGTTTCCTGTATTGTTCTTATGCCAGACTGGGATGAACAACTTTTGTACATAGATCATGGCAAACATTTAAAGAGTGCATGGACAATCTCTCAAAACCCATTTCAATAATGATCCATGATTTATCACAGTTAGCTCACACCTCACATCACTCTAATTTTCTTTATTTAATGACAGGACTATAGTCTCAGAAAGAATGACATCACTCTCCACCTTAATGAGGTGGATGAAGTGCCGATGCTCAACTTTATTATCAATTATTCATAGACCATAAAATTCCATACAGTGTGGAAGCAGGCCCTTTCGCCCAACAAGTCCAAACCGACTCTCAGAACATCCCACCCAGACCCATCTCCCTCATCTACATCTCCCTGAACAATATGGGCAATTTAGCACGGCCAATCTACTTAGCCTTTGGATTGTGGGAGGAAACCGGAGTGCCCGGAGGAAACCCATGCAGACATGTGGAGAATGTGCAAACTCCACACAGACAGTCGTCTAAGGGTGGAATTGAACCTGGGTTCCTGGCGCTGTAAGGCAACAGTGCTAACTACTAAGCCACCATAATGAAATTCCTTTCTCATTACTCAATACCCAGTTGCTTCCTCGTTGTATTGATTCATAAAACTGTTCCATATACATGCTAAGAATGCCTCCTGTATCATATTGCTACTAATTTGATTTGCTCAATTTATATATAGATTAAAGTCACCCATATTTACGGTCCTAACTTTATTACTTGCATCTCTACATTCCATTCTAATACCTTTCCCAATATTGCTCCTGTATTTTTGAGTCTATGTACAACCTTACTCTCATTTACCAACCATTAATGTTTCTAAGCTCAACTAACACTCTACAAAACCAAAGAAAAAACAGCAGATGCTGTAAATCAGAAACAAAAACAGAAATTGCTGGATAAGCTCAGCAGGTCTGCTGGCAGCATCTGTGGAGAGAAATAGGAGTTTACATTTCCATTCTGAGGAAGGGTCTCTTGATCTGAAACTTTAACTCTGATTTCTCTCCACAGATGCTGTCAGACCGGCTGAGTTTATCCAGCAATTTCTGTTTTTTTGTTCCATATATGTTCTACTTCACCACAGCCTATATCCTTGCTTACAATCACACTACTTGCCTGTCTTAATCGGCAGTTCTAACCCACCTCCTTCTCCTGTTTGCCTGCCCAGCCTATCCTCCTTGGACAACTCATTGATTCCAGGTATGAATCTCAAATCTTCCTCTGAAACACCTCCAATAAATTTGCAGAAGATGGCCAAAACCTGAACACTTTATTCAAGAGAGATAGCAAGTACTGCAGATGCTGGAGTCAGAGATAACAAAATGTGGAGCTGGAGGAACACAGCATGCCAGGCAGCACAGGAGCAGAAAAGTTGATGTTTCGGGTTGGGACCCTTCTTCAGACCCGAAACATCAACTTTCCTGCTCCTCTGATGCTACCTGGCCTGCTGTGTTCCTCCAGCTCTTCACCACTTTATTCAAGACGTGGTCTCACCTATTCTTTTTACAAATTAAGCAAATATCTTTACATTTGTGTTCAATTCCTGTAATAATAAAGGATACAGCTTATTAGCTTTCTTGATTGCAAAGAGATTTTGATCAATCGGATCAATGGGCTCAGGACTGGCAGATTGATGAAATAGGCTAAATTATTCGTTTCTGTGTTATAATGAATTTAAAACTGATTCCTGCAACCGTTGCTCATAATAAGAACACTTCAGTCTCCGAAACATTGGAGTAAACCTGCGCAGACCCCGAGGAAGGTCCAGACTCTCCTTCCTAAATTGTGGTGCCCACACACATCCTCCGGGGGTGCACTGCACACGATTTTGAATTTCTCGGAACTTGTCCAGTGAAACTGATCTCAGAAATCTTTTCCCACAGACACGACAGACAAACATTTTACCTTGCACGGTGAAAGACCGATGACACTGAGATACTGCTGAAAAGAGTGACTCGGTTAGACTTTGCTGTGATATCGGGTTGGAATTGATGATTTGGGAATCCTTCCCATTGAATGCTCTATAAAAAGAATGGACAGACAAGAGACCTCCCTTCAATCCAGAGAACAACATTCTGGCTCCATCACGCCTACGGCGCATGCTCTGGTCACGTTGTTAGACCCGCCTTCCCGTGTACTGATTGGTTGGAGCACTAACCCCGCCCGTCACACGTTCCGAAGGAGGTTCGAATTCCAGTCCCGTCACTGTGTCTCCCCGATTGGTTGGAAGGATAACACCGCCCCGCCTTCCGTTCGAGGATGTTCTTGCAGCCCGCCCCTCGTCCTCAAACGGTTGGAGGACAAACAGATCCGGTGCCATCCTCCAGTCGCGCCCCTTCATTGCTATTGGTTGTGTGACGTCATCAAACCGGCGTGTAGCTATAGAGCATGCGCACAGCTAATTGTGGATTGTATCAGAGATAGTCGGAACTGCAGAATCTGAGATAACAAGGTGTAGAGCTGGATGAACGCAGCAGGCCAAGCAGCAAAACTGACGTTTCGGGCCTAGATTCTTCGTCAGAAATAATTGCGTGCCGGCAGCGACGGAAGGAATGAAAACCAAAAGAACTGCGGATGCTGTAAATCAGGAACAAAAACAAAGTTGCTGGAATAGCTCAGCAGGTCTGGCAGCATCTGTCGATGAGAAAACAGAGTGAACGTTCGGGTTCGGTGACCCTTCCTCAGAAATTCTGCTGACCTTTTCCAGTCTTTCATGACATCCACAAATGGTGAGTGAAGGTTAAAGAGGGGGGGCAGCTTTGCTGCTTTATGCCAGCAAAAGGGTTGCATTATTGCCCAGTTTAGGTCTCAAGCCCCAAACAAGGCTTTTCTGGTGCCGCGATTTCGGCTGCAGAGAGCCCCAGGCTTCTTCCCTGAAATAGGCCGCGGTCCAACGCCGGCGCCTCCGCATCTGGATTAGTGGGAAATGCGCAAGCGCGGTTGGTGTGGGGACGTAACAGGGACAGGGCGTGG